GCTGGCTGGGGAATTCTGGGAGTGGAAGTCCAACCATCTTAAAGCATCCTGGCTGGGGAATTCTGGGAGTGGGTCCTCCCCTCTTAAAGCAGGCTGAATGGGGTATTCTGGCAGTGGAAGTCCGCAAGTTTTAAAGTTGCCAAGTTTGTAGACCCCTACATTAGGGGTTGCTCAAAAGTTGTGACATGCCTTGGGGATTGTAAAGATATTATCCTGAGTTGACTCAGCCTTCTGTCCTTCCAAGATCAGTAAAATGGGGGCCCAGATTGTTGGGGCAATAGGCTGACTCTCTAAACCGCTTGGAGAGGGCTGTAAAGCGGCATATTAGTCTAAGTCAGGAGTCTTCAAACTTGACAGCTTTGAGACTGTGGACTTCAACTCCCAGAATTCCTCCCTGACTCATGTTAAGTCAAGAATTCTGGGAGTTGAAGTCCACAAGTCTTAAACTTGCCAAGTTTGAAGACCCTTGGTCTAAGTGCTATTGCTGTATTTTGGTTATTTTAACATAATTGAGATGTGCTTGGTAAGTAACTACATAAATATCATAACTTTTGAACTTTCTGTTTGTTTCTTTGGGCGAGCCCAATTAGGAGAAGAAAGGACCGTACATATAGTCTTCGGCTAAACGACTACAATTAAGCCCACCATTCTTGTTAAGTGAGACATTTGTGAAGTGAGTTTTGCCCCCATCCTATGACCTTTCTCACCAGAGTTCTTAAGTGAATCCCTGCAGTTGTTAAGTGAGTCACATGGTTGTTAAGTGAATCTGGCTCCCCCCCCTTGACTTCACTTGTCAGAAGGTCGCAAAAGGGGGGCTGCGTGATCGTGGGACACAGCAACGGTCATAAGTATGAACCAGCGTTGCCAAGGGCCTGGATTTTCCAACATATGGTTTTCAGTTTGGTTTTTCAAGATATAAAATACAAAGAAAAATTAAAAAGTAGTGGAAGGGGGAAGGAAAAGAAATATTGTGTAAAGGGGAAAAAAAAGAAAGGTACCAACTTCAAATACAGTAGACCACGGGTCTCCAAACTTGGCAACTTTAAGACTTGTGGAATTCAACTCCCAGAATTCCCTAGACAGCATGGCTAGCTGAGGAATTCTGGAAGTTGAAGTCCACAAGTCCTAAAGCTGCCAAGTTTGGAGACCCCTGCAGTAGACGATAACAACATTGCAACTACAACTTTTGATCGTTTGTGAGCTGTGTTCAACAAAATTTCATTTTAATGTACGTTGACTAATGTGCATTCAACGTGACAGAATTATTCTATTCTATTCTATTCTATTCTATTCTATTCTATTCTATTCTAT